ACTCGAATTCAAGAGCTGGGGTCCTAATAGTACCACTTAGTTACATTGGCGTATCATTTCACCGCACACATTTCTTTGCATACAAGTGTACATTCTAGCAGAAATTAGCTGTTAGGATGGGTTAGTTTAGGTTGGGACATGAAGCATCCTTACATCCATATGCTCATGAAATTTGTAAATTTAGAAAAACTTGCAAATTTCTTACATTCAAAACAAATTTTCTGAATTTCTAAATTGTAACATTTTCAGGTAAATTCAGATGTTTTAAATTGTATTTTTAAATTTTAAGAAATTTCTAAAAGTGCATTTTCCAAACATTTTGAAATTCCTAGTATTCTTGGCAGTTATATACTCGTAGCAATTCAAGTCTTTGAAAATTATGAAAATTTCAATAATAACCATATTACCAAACTCAAGAACTTTGAACATCTTTAATTTTTTAGAAATGCCTATTTTACAATTTACGATCTTTTCAGATGTTTCAAATTCATCTGCTTCATTAATTTTTTTTTAAATAAGTCCACTCACATTTTTTCACTGCGCATTCAACTTTCGCATCACACCCCTGGTTGATCTTGGGATCTTCTGACTAGGTTTTTCCCGAAGTTCTGATTAATACAGGCTGCTTTACCTCAGTCTGGGTTGGACGTATTCACAATTGCAGTATTGAACATGCTTACTGACTATTTCACACGTAGCTCTTATGTGCTGAGAGATGATGAAGAGCTGGGTATAGTAGATTCGATGCTTTTCTTGAATTCATTACAGTTGACTAAATTAGTTACAGGATATTTAAGAACATTTTTATGTGCCGGGATAAATTTTGTACTTACACGTGTCTCTATAATGCCATGTAGGAAAACATCAAATCTGCTGAGGACCTCAACAAACATAAAATTATCTCGCTCATTGCCTTTGCACTGAATAAAACATACAATGTACTCATTACATGTATATATTTGACAGAACTGTACATAATACGGTTACAGCATAACATTAATGTAAACAGGTCATTCAGCATACACGCTTTCTTTGTACACACTTTGTTGTAACACTGAAGAAATTAATCATGTTTCCATTATAAAGACAAAGAGCCCATATTGGGGGTACATATGTGCCATCATCCATTGCCAATCTTATAATACACATGGCATAAACTACTACCGATTAACATCTTCCTGTTCATTTGTTGTTTTATTTTTGCATACCTTTCTCAGACTACATCTTTTGTTTAAATTGGGTGTCAGAAACATGCCTTAGACCATACTACTGGGCAGGTAATGTCTGTATATATATCCTCCTATTCCAGCTCTTGAGCAATAACAAAACTGTGGACATGCAAAATCATTAGGTTGGGATATAATGTTAATACTTTTGCTAGGTTTTTTTTTCCCCCTGGCACTACAGCCCCAATTTGGGCCTAGGCCTAGCTCCATGAACTTCTCCGTTCACTTCGGTTTTTCTAGATCTTACACATACGGTAGGACTCCTTGGGTGAGTGATCAGCTCGTCACAAGGCCTCTACCTGTAAACAAACACAGAAAAACGCACACAAACATCCATGCCCTCAGTGGGATTCGAACCCACGATCCCGGCTTCCGAGCGAGCGAAGACAGTGCATGCCTTAGACCGCTCGGCTACTGTGACCAGTTACTTTTGCTAGGTTGGTGCAGCAGATTACTGCGCATGCTCTTACCGATCCAGGCACAAATCACTCATCCGACTGTGTACATGGCTAGATCTAGGTCAGACTGGACTAGGTTTGATTGGTGCACATGCCCACTCGCATCAATCTTGGAATTAAATTAGTTAAAAAAATTTAGAAGATTCACATATTTTTTGTATCTTCTAAATTTCAAAACTTTTTTCAGATTTCTGAAGAACCTAAATGCTTTTTATTAGATACTGAATGTTAGAGCTTTTTAAATTCTGTAAAAGCAAATTGTCTGGAGTCTGAACATCAAAGTTTTCAAAATTTTGTAAACACAAGTTGTTCATACCTTTGATATTCTGGATATTTTCAAAAATTATAATTGTAATATCCGAGATTATATATTTGTATATTTCATGAAAATATAGATCCAGATTTACAGAATCTGTAAAATATCCAGTTTTTAAGAAATTATTCACTTTAAAATTTCAGTATTTTTTACATGTTTTAAATTTGTCTCATCTATTAAAATTTCAAAATAAATCCACAGCCACTGGACACAGTTCACACATGTCACTTTTATCTGTCCAACTATCGGCCAACCATTCTCTGGGAAGTATGCTTTACATTATGCTCAATTACATAATGACAGCTTAAGAATATTCAGAACTGCACACTGTTGGTCAGGTGAACACACTCTTTCACACACTCTCAGATTTTTTTCTTCCCCCCCCCCTGGCACTACAGCCCCAGTGGGCCTAGGCCTACCTCCATGAACTTCTCCGTTCACTTCGGTTTTTCTCGATCTTACACATTCGGTAGGACTCCTTGGGCGAGTGATCAGCTCGTCGCAAGGCCTCTACCTGTAGACAAACACAGAAAAACGCACACAAACTTCCATGCCCTGAGTGGGATTTGAACCCACGATCCCGGCTTCCGAGCAAGCGAAGACAGTGCATGCCTTAGACCGCTCGGCTACCGTGACCGGCTACACTCTCAGATTTACTTAGTGCTGAATAAGAGTTGCATATATTGAATGATATCACAAATAGTGCCATTTTCTTGAATTTGTTTCATTACATGATGTTCACCAACATTACAACTTGTGACTATACACTCCATGCTTACACATGTAAACTTAAGGTCAAAAATGTATAATGTACTAATGTTCTGCACTTAGAGGCAAGCAGAAATGTTCAGGAAATCTTCGACCCAAAGAAATTGTGGACCGCGGAAAGAAGTGACCGCCACCAGAATGAAGATTACAGAGGAGAATAGATGTTGGAAGTACCCTGAATGCAACACTGGCATAAAGGACAGAGGTCTGAAACAGTGACTACGAGTCAGCAAACAATTGAAGGACCCAACCAAGAACGCCATTGGAGGGTGTAGATCAGGACAGCGATCGCACCTAGGAGGGAGAAGTACTCGTAAGAAGACCTTCTACGAGATCGTCGGCAGGAAGATCGCAAAGCAAATAGCCGGATCTTCTGTCGGATTATGACAAAATAGGGAATGGACTTTATGGAGGGATAGGCCCCCTCCAAAACGGAAAAAAGGAGACTTCAAGCAGAGGACCCGGTAATGTAGAAGCACCGGCCTCCCGAGCAAGAGTGAATGTGTGATGGATGAAAGTGAGGAGTGAATGTGACACAACTGGATCTTCTGGCAAGTTAACAGGAAACCGCTCGAGATGAGCTGGTCTTAAGAGGGGAGCGGATGTAACGGACGGAGAATAGTCACTGCAACAGGAGTAGCCAGACAAAAAAAAAAGAGAAGACGACGTTGCAAGAACAGCCTGCAAATAAAAGGAACGGGGATGTACCGTTAGGCTATTCGGGACGAACAGCCTTAAGGAGGGAGCAGTGTGATGTATTTGCGCTATGCAGGACGCCCCCTCCCTGCCAGCGGTGGCATAACAGCGCTGCATTGGTGTCAAGCGGGAGTCGGGTTGTATAGTCTTGGCAACACCTGTTAACAGGCAACATGGCACCAGGGAAGCGAGGCACTTTCCATTCTCTGGCTGAGGGTTTATAAGAGAACTGCACTGCCTAAGAAGACAGTTAAAATGTAGCAGCCGCCAAAGACAGTTGAAATATAGCGGCAGTCGCGGAAACAAGACCCGAACGCTTGTTTAGAAGATTTGATGTGATAATTTGTGATACTGCTGAGGGCAGTAATTGTGAGATTTTAAATTGTGTGATTGTAAGAGCGAATGTACTATAAATTCGCTGTATCAAATACAGCGTGAAGTTACTTGTCACGTGACATACACCCAACACATGACAATTTGGTTGCAATGTTGCAACAGCTTCATTAGCAAAATATGAACAACAATAGATTACTTTCAAGAAAATTCCAATAACAGTCTCTAATAAATGCTTAACCAAAAATAATTGACTACCTATTCTTAGAACCTTACAAGCTACTGCCTTGACTATCAGGGACCTCCTAGTAACTTTTTCTATCTGAACAATTACAACTACTGCATAGCGTTCTGCTGGCAATGCAGCAGACAATGTGGGTACTGCACAATGGGTCTCCTGCCCATCTTCTCACAATGTCATGCAGTCTTTAGGCAGAAACTTTCTGGCTTATGGATAGGATGAAACAGACCAGATGTATGTGGCCTCCACAATCATCCAGTCTTACTCCTGCTGAATTCTTATCCTGAGGCAGTCCAAAGAGTGAGCTTTATGTCGAACAACGCAAGATGCAGGTTTAGCTTTGGAATACCAGTGAAGTGGCTCAGATGATAATATGCAACATGCCTGACATCTTTCTGCAGACTAGGAATTCTTTGCACAACAGGGTTCAGTTATGCCCTGACTGCAAGGGTGGACCATTTCAACATCTTTTGCAAACCATTGGTAGCTGGCCAGATGCCATTCTGTTCACAGCTAATAAATAGTTTATCCACTACTACTCTATATGTCTATTTTTCTTTCTTTGTGCTTTCTGTTGCCATAACTTGCTAATGAAGTGGTTGCATCCACGTGTTTGTATTGTAGCATGTAGAACTGTTGCTATGCAACAGCTGCGTGATGGTGAATATACCAGGAATGTTTCTGGGCAATGGCTCGGTAAACACATTCCCACAGCAAGTCACAAACGCAACAATGATAGAAGAACTGTGTTTTCTATGTGGTTCATGGCGAGATGTTATAAGCAAGGGACAAGGTTAGAGCTCAGTCAGTTCTGTACATGAGTATATGAGGACAAGACTTGGGCTGGAGGCAGAGGAATAGTCACTATTGCAGCCATTACTCGGAAATGTCTAGTAACAGACTGAGAACACTAGACTGTGTGCTCTAGTGAACTGTAAGGTGTGGAAATAGCAATAGTGTATAGTTATTTGTAGTTATGACCTGTACATGGTAAATAAATATATTCACCAATCAAAAATCCATCTATAGTCACACATAATACATGACATTATGAATATTCATGCTTGCCTGTAAATGGAGATCACACTGCTTCTACATAATGTATGTAATTAAGACTGGCCCTGCAAGTATATAATGATTCTGACTGCAGAGTTCTTTATTTACCGATAAACAGTCACTGTGTTCACTTTTTGTGGTTCATCAAACTAATATCAACTGATGTTTCCAACAGGGTGAGAAAGTCTTCTCCATTCTTCTCTGTCTTTATAACTGTTCCTCTTGTATCTGTGTCCACTCTTCCCATATTCAATTTGACTCACTTAGTCTCTCACCTTGACTCTGATCTCCCTCATGCATTTATTCATAATTTCTGTGCTTCCATGGGACCCCATTTTTACCCATGTGTAACACATCTCCACACCACCGTATCCTTTCTTGAAGTACTTCTATTTCAGACACTGTCCCTTCTTGTTTGTTTCTTAACACTCCACAGAAAATTTGTCTCTAATATTTACAATCTACTTACACCCCCAACACTCATATCCATTAAAAATGAAAATGACACATAACAAAATTATACAAAAAATCAATTAGACCAACTGACAATCATATACAAGCCACAACTTTATTCTGTCATGACTTCTGTTTCCGCCATCTTGAAGCTTGCTGAAGAGGCCACAGTCCTGTCATTCACTTCTATAATGTTGCAATGCTTTTGAATATCTGTAAGAAAAATGTAATTATGTTAAAACTTCATAATTTTGAACTCAAAAGAAGTTAACCTTGGATGCTATGAATGCTTATGGCCACCCGTAGTCACAGCACTTCAGCTAGCCATAGCTACCCTTTAGGACATCATAGCTGTGGTGTAGGGGTGATGATGAGCTGGACTAGTAGAATGGTTTAGGATTAACTACTGTTAACTCCTAGGCTGGGTCTGAGAAAATTTCAGATGATTTATGCCAATGGGATCCCAATGTGTGGAATACCTATAACATTTGGAGTAGCCCTATTTTCACAGGTGGGTTTGATGGGTTAGCTCAGGTAAGGCTAGCACTTGTAGCAGGCTATAATTCAGTTGACCAAAAGATTCACACTCGCACGGCACCTATTTACTCAATCAGAAGACGATCATAAATACTGGATGTTTATTAATGCACTTATGCGGTTGCACAAATACAATAATTCGCTGCCTCTGTGACACTGGTAAGACATAATTGAAACACTTCCAATATTTCCAAAATACTGTCTGTTAATCACTGAAATGGCCAAATAATGACAGCTATGAAATTAATAAGTGAGTTTATTAACCTAAAAAGCCAAAATGCTTACAAAGCTGACGACTTAGAATTTGGGGCCAGATGGCACTCAGGCACATCTGACTCAATGACTGAAAATTATGGTGTCTAAGCCAAGCGTCTCTTTATTGCTAGTGGGGTGGGACTAAGTCCGTTGTACTGCGGCCACATCTGGCCTACTGTACCAGCTCCAGATTATAAGTGAGGGTGATTGTGGAGCAATTGGTGGAATGAAGATTGGCAGGGGAAACCGAAGTGCTCAGAGAAAACCTGCCCCAACACCACTTTGCCCACCACAAATCCCACTTTACCAGACCCGGGATCGAACCCAGTCTACCGCGGTGGGAAGCCAGCGACTAACCGCTTGAGCTATGGTGCAAAGGTGTCCCTCCTTAGTTTCACAACTTGAACCAAAGACATCATTCTCCAGATTCTAACTGGCTGGTTTTAACGGTTAGGAGTATACAAAAATCTTGCATTCCCCAACTGCAAACAAAAGTGGGTATTATTTAGCTTGTGAGACCTTAACTGCCGGCTACCAGCTATGGTAATTAAATCTAGTAGTAGTGTTGGTCCCGGAAATGGCTCCATAAAAGTTATGACTTATGTTACTGTCAAGGTTTAGAATTTCAAAAGGTGCAGACAGACAACGATGTACCCGACATTCCTATTTCCAAATTGCTCATGAACCCCACAACCTTACAGCTAAATGGAAAATCTGACCTAAGTCTTGCCTGAGTTAAAGAATCCAGCCAACTCAAATTAATTTGGTGATCAACATAGGAATTTCATTAATAAAAAATAAACTAATTAATTTAAACTACATTAAGGAAATTAAAAATGGTAGATGTATGCACCCAAATTTGGATGGTTACATGCTTATTTACCATATTTCATCACATATTTCACTTGTCCTCATTATTCACTGTATTGAAGAAATAAAGTACAATGAAATCCCAATTTAATAATTCTCTTGGGAAATGACTCTTTTATGAGTATATTATATCCAGATTTTCACTACATGAAAGCTGTGTAAAACCCATCAAGAAAATATTCACCTTCCTGTAAAACTTCCAAAACATTATTTTTTTGCATAAATAGTTGAAGAAACTTTCATGGTAGCTAAAGTTTATAAAATCTTTTCAGGCTATCAGCTATGCCAGTTGGTTAAAAATTACCCTCACAGTTTTTTACCCACTGACATGGCTGAGAGCCCAAGATTTTATTAGTAATCAGTAAGCAACTTCACATTCTATAGTAACCATTGTAATGAGATGATAATGGGACTGATGTCTATAAGTACATAAATTTTTAATGTGTTACAGTACCCAAGGTAACAAGCTGAACTTACACAGATTCTGGCATGATGTATAACAGAAGTAGTTTCTGGAATTGCAGTACATTTTCTGCACGAGAATGCTAGTTTCTAAATAATGTATGGATTGTGATATTATAGTATCTTTGAATTTCATGCCCATACTTACAGAAAGTAAAGAATCTTCAACATTTCCAGTTAGTGAACTGTAGCACAAGTCAGAGAATGCATGTGTACTGTTCATACAACTTTCTTCAAAAAATAAGCGTCTTCACATACTGCAACAGTAAATATACATTAAGATTTCACTGCATGATGAAACATTATACATTATGCATTTGAAATCTGAAGCATAATATAAAAAAGTTGGCAAGATAAGGACAAGGTAGTATGGACAGTTGTTGTAAATAGAAAAAAAGGATTCCTTTGTAAGCTTAAGGAATGAAGATGCCAAATAAGTAACCACTGCAAGACCAGGAACAAAATGAAGAGATCAGATGTAGGAAAACATAAAAAGAAAGGAGAAAGTGTAGACAGATATGAAAGAATACAGAAGAATGGATAAGGTTGTCATACGCTGACCTACCCTGGTGGGAATGTCAAATGGATTATGACGTGATGCAACATCATTTAGCAAACAGTTACCAACGTTTCACAGGGACCTCTTGCCTCTATCTTCTGTCCTGAAGTTCTGGCACCATATCTAACAAACTACACAGCACTGCATCCCAGATCATATTCTTCTTGACACTGACCATGAGAATCTCACATAAATGACTATGTTCACTATATTCCTTACATAAAATTCTGTTATCATGTGAAGTATATTCTTGATAAATGCGATGTTAATTTCTGTTTGCATAATGTTTGACTTGGTTTCATCCCAATAGAAGATTAACTCAAAGCTTCAAAAAGAGACAAATATCAATGTTCCAAGAATGGCACAGCCTATCTAATCAAACCATTCATAAAAACTACAAAACCCCAACCCTCTTTTTTCATCACTATATTTTTATTCAAAATATCTCAAATCAAAAATAACAACACTGTATATCAAAATGTTTCTTTGACCATCAAAAGATGTCGGAGATTTATTTATAACTGAATCATCCACTTCTAACAGGTGATTTTGCTTCCTGATAGTTTCCTGACTGTTGCAAAAATACTACAGAATGAATATTTTTCTCCATGCAGCTGTCTTGCTATGCTGTCCTACAGTATCTCAAAATGAGCCAGAAATGTCTAATGATGCTTCAAGAATGCCTCAGCTTATATCATAAGCCCTTGCATGAAGAATGTACATTCCTTTTCACCAGCAGAAAACATCAACCAGACTACATGGTGTCACATCACAACATTCTATGAGAATCTCAAATCTAACAAAAATGTATTACTCTTCTGTTTCATATGTGGTATCTGATAACTACATTCATATGAATAAACCATCAACATCAGAAATCTACAAGTTTTGCATTTACATATGACAGTATGTATTATGTCAGTGACATAATTAATGTTTTTTTCTAATTGTTGATGGTTTATTTATATTACTGATATTTTGTACTTACCATCCACAAATTTTTCACTCAAAATGGATAACCAGAAAAGTGCTGAGTTCTATATACATATACGTGTGTGTGTACCTTAGAAGCCAACTGCACATGCACAATGATGACAATGGCAATACTCATGAGGAAGCTGGTCCTTCTCCAGTAGCTGAAGGGGTTTCCCCATAGCAATGCTTAGCCCGTGGATCACGATAGGAATTCTCGTGCTGCACACTCTGTGAACTGGTGCGGCATTTTGCCAAGCAAAGTTCAAAATGATCTGTCACTGAAGCGAACAGGACATTAAATGTTTCTGATGCTTTTCCCAGGACACTTTGTAATAAGTTTTTCTGTGAGAAAACAAAAACTTTGTTTCAGGTTTTGATTAAAATTCATCACATAAATACTAACTCACTCTTGCAAGCTGATTGCTGCTCAACTAGTCAATAATTACCTTCTTTTTTAAACTCAAAGGTTCATTACTATTAGATATGAAAGGTTCTGTCACATACAAGTGGTGTACAGTTATCATGCAACATGCTTTCAGCCTATTTGGCCATGACCAGGCTATTTATATACATTACTGCTTAACTGGTACAATGGTTGTTTATTACAATCTTTGATCTTATACATATTGTCACGTGTATGGAGAGTGACTATAGACAGGGTTTTGGATTGATGACTCAATTTATTGTACACTTTGATACAGCACATGACTACACTTTACAGTTCACTGTTACACACACATTCGTGTCCACAGTCACATCTTCACTGCCACTGTTTGGTAGTTCACAATGACTGAACCCCAGCAGTTCTCTGAATGAAACTCCTGACTGGTCCTAGTTACAAGTGTGTTAAGTGTTAAAGAATATACTGAAGTGTAAAACAAGTGTTGCAATTTAGATGGATATAGACAAATGGATGCTAATACAACATCTCAGCATGGACCACGTAGTAAACTCTCTCCCATTGTTACTTTTCTCTAGTTGCTGTGGAAACAAGCATGTTTTCAGAGCCATTACTTAGCAATGGCTGTTGTAGAGTTACTTGTTTCATGATTGTTGCCTAGCAATGGGTCTACATGACACAATATAACGCAATAGGTAGATTGTATTCAATGTACTGACTATGCTGATACTGTACATTATGATAAGTGTTACAATATCGTTGCTAAAACTTATAATGTTAAAATATCCAAAAACTTTCTTCAGGTTTACACTGCTGACTCACTTAAAATGTGAGCACAATGTGAAATATTAATTGCTACTGTTACAGTGGCCCTGTGTTCTTTACATTTAGTAAGACTAAGATATTATGCATAATACTGTGTCTTGTACAGATTGCATACTTTTCATTCTGTATTTTTTGCTGAATTTATTTAGTGGGTTTTATTCCTGGCAGCCATACAACTGTGAATAATCAATGTAGTTTCATTGATTTGAGAGCTGTGGCAGCTAAGTCACCAATCACAGTGGCAGCGTGGTCTAAGGTGTGAACTGTCTTCGCCTGCTCAAACACTGGGGTAATAATTCAAATCCCACTTGAGGCATGGATGTCCGTGTGCATTTATTCTATGTTTGTGTCTCCTGGTGCAGGTAGCAGCCTTGTGACAGGCTGATCCCTCATCTAAGGAGTCCTACCAACTGTGTAAAATATCAAAAAACTGAAAAAGCAGCCAAGATCCAACAAAGGGCTGTAGAGCCACAGGTAGATAGGTGGATGGGTGATTAGACAGACAGCTCAGTCAGTCAGGCCAGATGACTGGAATCTTATACACAGAAGGCACAGAAATTATTTTGTTGCCATGTCCAGATTAGACTCAGGGCCCACTTACCCTATCCAAGAGCGGCCTCCGTGGTCTAGGGGTAACATTCCCACCTCACGACTCAAGGTACGCGGGTTCAAACCCGGCGGAGGTCGTGGCATTTTAAGGGTGGAAAAATTCAGGGAAAAAGTCCTCCAGGAGGGACTTTAAGCCGTGGGCCCCGTGTCGCAGATTTACGGCACGTAAAAGATCCTCATGTCTCTAGGAGACCTCTGAGCAAAATTAGGCAAAAAGTTTCCCGCCCAAGCAATTTCCAATGCCTCCGGTAGATGGGGAAGTTATCGGGTACCACTGCCACAAGAGGGCCAACCCCGCTGGCAGAAAAGGGAGATAGCGAGCACCAGTACCGGTAGGGTATGGTGACAGTAGAAATTAAAAGGGGACGTACAACAGACTACTAGTCGCAGTGCATGGGGAAACCCACCCCTTCTAATACTGAATAACTGAACTGAATACCCTATCCAATCAGGACTGGGGACTGTTTTCCCAGGGGCAGAGTGGCTACAAGATGAATTTCATTACTCCATGTAGTGACAAGGCAATGAATGTATGAACTTTAATTTTTTTTTTTACTTCCATTCCCTCTGTGAGCATGAAATAGTACTCAGACATAGGAATAACTTTAAATTTACTTTACTGCAGCTGACTTAAATTCCTAATCAAGTTACATATTCACTGTACATCATAAACATAGCACTCTCAAGCCAAGGTCAATATCAGTACACAGAGGATGGATGACTCTTTTTAACAGCTAAAAGCCTCAAAGAAAATGTGAAACTAATCTGTGGAAATACTTATTTGTTAAATGAAGAAATAAGCTCCAGTCCCACTGAACTTTAATAGACAGTGTGTGTCCATAAGGGGAGAAGAAATGATTTGGAGAAGTATCAGTTTCATTCAGTTCAGAGATTTTTCACATTCTTTAGGCTTCCCAACCAAAATTGCATATGCATTTCTCATCTTTCTTGTTAAACTTTATCATCTTGGAATTGAGGATTTTAAATCTCCTGGTACCAAGGGACTTGCAGCAGTATTTTAATGGTATTAGTACTGCAAAATGTGACACTTGGCCAGCTTGACTGTAAGCACACGCAGCTGCAGTAATGCCACATGCATGGTAAAAGTTAATCCACATGACCCACCTATCTGACCCTCCTTGGTATGATCACCGTAATAATTTCTAGAGAAGAGTATAAATTATGAAGCTCCTCCTCGTGTATTTTTCTAAATCCTCCTGTTATGTTATCTTTCTTACATTCAAATAATCTCTTCCACACTTTATTCTCAAACATCATCAATATATGTCCTTACCTTAAGATGAGAGCTCCAAGTTTCAATACCCAAATAAAACAACAGGTAAAATTACAATTTAATTTTTAGATTCTCGTATAGAAGATGGGAAGAAGACAGATTCTGGACTGAATGATAGTAAGCATTCATCAAATTTAATCTGCTCGTTAACTTTTTGTGAACATAACGTTGATTTGTTATTTTGGTTCCAAGTATCTGAATTCTGTTATATTCTGAAGGTTTTACTAGCTACCTTAGTTCTGCATTCTGGTGGTGAAATATGAATACATGTTTAGTTCTTTCTGCATTTATTTCTAGAGGAACTACTTCCTTAATGATCAGAATGTAATTACAATTCTACTCCATCAGTGTTCTGATGGGTGCAGAACACGACGTCTTAAATGTGAAGGAAAAACAGTGATGAAGGAGCGTGGACAATAACAAAATCATAGGCATATGTGTAATTCTGAAACATCTTGCTGTTCTAGAGTTCAGTCTAAATTGACGTTCATATTAAACTACGCCTAACGATCCTTTGTTTATACTGGTTACAAACAGCAGAACTGTGCCAGTAAAAATTATAATTATGGTTACTTATACCTACTTTGTCTGGATGTAAGCAACATGATATACAATACTCATATATGCTGCAACATCCACTGTCTTTGCAAGTTTCACAGGAATATCGTTTCGTGGTTTCAGAATCTGTATTACAACAGCCAGTGGATAAAATGTCTGTTCGTGAACAAACATAGCCTGTAATAAAAATATCAACTACTGCTTAACATGTTTTATAACAAGATAACATATATGAGAGATATCATCACCAAATTATTCATAACCATTGAAAGTCTGGTTTTAAGTGCCTATTTCATGCATCAGGCAGTATTTGTTTGGATTATTATTTAATGATGTTTTTCAACTGAATCACCAAGAGTAATGAATGGTGGAGGTAACTCTGGTATTATATTGGTTAGACTGATGGGAGGGATCGGCACTGCTGGAGGAAAACACATATTGCAGGAGTAAAAACTGGACCCTGGACTAGCTATATCTAAATGGACAGTGATGACTTGCAGTGAAGACTGGACATTAAGTGCAGCAGAACAAGTAAAGTCCCTCAGTAGTTAGTTAGTTATTGGAGAGGGTGGGTTTCCCCATGCACTGAGACCTGTATTGGTCCATTGTGCTTCCCTCTATGATTTATACCAGTCTCTATATCCTACTGGTACTGGTACTTACCATCAGTCCCGCCCAGCCAGCGAGACCGGCTCTACTAGCTGAGAGGTATCTATAATGCTTCCCCCATCTACCAGAGGTATTAGAGATTGCTGTTGGGCGGGAAACGTCCGTTAACTTGGCTCAGTGACCTCCTTTGGAGATATGAGGTTCTTTTACGTGCCGTAAAGCTACGACACGGGACCCACGGCTTAAAGTCCCTCTCGGAAGACTTGTTCCCTGAATTTTTCCGCCCTTAAAAATTCGACGACCTCCACCGGGTATTTGAACCCGCGTACTACGAGTCATGAGGTGGGAACATTACCTCTAGACTATGGAGGCCGCTAAGTCCCTCAGTAAAACAGCCATCACTTCACTGGCCCTCTCACCATTGCAATAATTACAGTTGGTCAGCAATAAAATCACTTTAATACACAAGCTGTAGAGAGCAGAATTTACTTAAGGCAGATTATGACTGGGTCATGATAGTCGATTAGGGCACCATGTACAGAAATAATTAAGATTCCCTTGAAACTTTGGATGATGTTTATGTGGAGAGGTAGGAATTAACTTGCAAAAGGGGCCAGTGAAGAAGATGAAACAGATCATTACAGAATAGTGAAGATGACATATTAAAATGGTAGAAGGCAATATCAAGGGAAAGAAAAGTTAAGCACTTCTCTGTGTGCAGTTGCACACACGGCCTGATCAGGACATGGAATGAAGCGGTGTGGTCTTTTGCATCCATTTTGTTCTTCATGTGATTTATCTTGAAAACATTTATCACGTTACATGTACTCCATCTGTGTTATTTCCTCATCACAACTAAATATATACCACTCGAGTATAGAATGCAATCCAAAGATGTTCTTGTCATAAGAATACGGATTCCCCTTGTGCCAGACACAAAGTGACTGGTCCCAAGAGCACTCATTACAGTGGATGTAGACCATGCAACACTGTGCAGTGAGGAGCGTAACAAGGCACGGCAAATGGAAATGCTGCTACAGCAGTGACTGCATCTTGTGCTGTAGCCATCACAATTTTACTGCTCTATCAGACTAGTGCCTTTAGACATCTGCATTATTTCAGAACTGTACTGTATTGTTTGTTTGTTTTTGTTTGTGCCCTGATGTGTTTGTTCATTTGTTTGTTTGGGAGGCAAATATTTACCTCTATCGTCAACAATTAAAACTTTGCCCTGTACTGAATTTCTGCATGTTGTTACTTTAACATTAGAGCCATTTATATCATCCTTCACTGAATGCCACAAAAATTGCTGATTTAACCTTCTTACTGGAACAGTTTCTATTTCATTGTTAAGGGAATCATCAGCCTACAAAAGAAAGAGAAAGTTAAAATGCATATAACAAGAAATGTGATGATATAAATTCATGAACATACTGTATAATGTGGTAATCATGTATACACTATTCCTTTATTTCATATGCTGTCATTTCATTTAATTTATATCATTCACTGGATTCAGTGATGACCTACATGTAGTACAACTACATAATACAATCACCATGAACTTGCAGATCATAAGCCTGTACCCACATCACATTCATTTGCCAAATTTGTAACAACATGCTTATTTGGCCAAACGAAAAATACAAATTAAACTCAGTGAACCTAACTAGCCATTAACAAATATGGATTAACTGCAGAAATATAAAAATTGTCATAAAATAGGAAAAGATACTTGTTTTCATTTTGCTACATATCCACAGATATCTACAAAGTCAAACAATGTGTCGGTAAAAGTATGCAGTTACCACTCTGTAAATATATACAAAGGGTGTCATCAGTTTCTAAATTAACTATAACAGAGTCATTCTTGAGAAGCTAACAGTCACTCAGCTGGTCGAGAATTTGATCCTTTATAGAAACTGCAGGTTCATTACCATGCTTACATCAGAATGTGTATAAATGTAACTAAGGGATCTATGACAGAGAAATGACTATACTGTATCCATCTCATTAATTAATTAAATTCAGATTTAATCTATGATCACATGGGTTAAAAAACACAGTCAACTAAACTGAAGCAACCACCTTAGAAATGTGACGTTTCAGATTAGGTTGCATTTGAGAATGTTCTTTTAGCTAATGTAAGTGAAAACTGATAGTTTGGCTTTTTTACTTCATTTTGTCATTGTCACTTTCAGGATCTCAGTTCTCAGAACAAGTCACTTGTGTACATACAGGTGTAAGCATGATTCTTCAACGTCAGATATATTAAACACCCGTATATGCAACAAAGGCCAATGATATTCTGATCTTAAATTACAAACAGTAATAAAAACTGAAAAAGAAATTTTATTGTATTAAAATAATGAGTACTATATGGTGATGCAACCCCAAGCAACAATAAAATAGGTGAACATTAAATGTATGAATAATGGGACTCAAACAGGCAAAGGGATTTATATCAGGACCCTCTTCCAGAAGAACGAAGGACCTGTTGAAATTAAATAGAGATCAATTAAGATGGGTGGTAGGATTACTTACTGGACATTGCCACCTAAAACGACACCTTTTCAAACTGGGACTGATGGATGACCCAACCTGTGAAAGGTGCCTACAAGAAGACCAGTCACACATATCCTATGTGATTGGTCAGTTCTTCGTGGAACCAAGTGACTTTTATGATGCCCCCGTAAACAAAGTCCTATATTTCATTCGACGTGTAGGATTAACATACGGTTAATCCAAAGGAGAAGCACAATAGATCATTAAAGGTGGCTGTGTGACCGGATTTTATGGCTCACCCCTTACACACATACACATACATACATACATACAAATGATATGAATTTGGAATCTTGTGATTTATTTACAATAACATCATTGCATTGATTCCAAAGAACTGAAGCTGGCTACATTTATCTGGTTTACGGCTTCCAATGTAGCCAGCCAGTTCTGAGAACAGAATCCTAGATCTTTTCATACGTAACTAAGACCGACCAAGACGCAGTTCATAACCTCTACGATTGAGTCACGTGACAACAGCCTACTGTAAATACTAAACAAAATTAGAATGAAATATGAAGTCGTCTAATGTTACACTGATTACTGTTGAGAGTGGTCATTATGCACACAAATTCTCACCTCACGCAAGAAACTGAAAATACAATAGGTTAGAGACACTGCAAATATTATTCCAAGAACTATTCTTTTTCTTAATATTCTCATTAAAAACGCCGTCCACATGTTAATATACTACAATAACAAGTTCCAAATTTAAATCGCATTATTTAACAGCACCCACAACTGAAAGACAGTTCATATAGCATCAATTCAAAGCGTAAACTTAAATGCTCATCACCATTGCACTGCTTACTTTCAGACATGCATAGTCATGCACACAGTCCAAATGACTGTGAATCTAGCATCACGCAGTACCCTCATGTCACGTGGGTGGGTTTCATACTGTGAGATTTTCAACAGAAGTTCACACTTCACGTCCTTGTAAGTTCAAATTTTAGCCATACGGTTGCATATCAACCATCTGTCAAATGGTTACCAGGATCACCTTTCCCGGCGGTAAACCAGAGTGAGCATGAAGATTATTATTCATTTTGTCTCTTACTGAAGATGAAAATGGGTATAGCTTCTAAGAAGACAATTAAAGAAAGGTAAAGCCAGCCCTGTAACAGGCCATGGGGGCCCATAGGTTTATGAGATGTCGAGGCTCTCACATTTCGTAGCCAGTCGGTTCACAGATGGCGATGAGGTTGTCAGCCTTGCGCGGCGTCCGCCCTTTAGCCCCCAGGAAAATTCCTGGTACTCATTTCTGTTAGAGACTGAGTCGACCCCAGGGCCATAGTGAGGTTCAAAGGATTAGGTCAATTGAGAAGTGCAATAACCTCTTGGGGAATCGAACCCGCGACTTTCTGGCTTGTAGCATAGTGCATCAACCAACTATACTACCGCGTGACCCCTCTCGAGACAATTGCTATATACATATTCATCACATGTTGCATTGTACAGAGATAAATGGATGTTTTAGTATACCGTCTTTGCAGAGCATATATTATGCCGTCATGTTATGTAGATGCCGTAGATCTGTGTGTCAATATGTACCACCTTCAAGAATGAAGGATTTCGATGAAGTTTGGTTGCTTGCTAGGGATACATACGAGAATTTATAGACCCAGATCCATTTTAGTTCACTGTCCCTACTTCATATGAAGATCAACTCATGCCTCTACCGTGGGTAGAGGTTTGTCAGCTTATGTTAATTTCTAGGTCTCACTTTATGGAGAGGGGTTGTATAAAGCAAAGAAAGAACATTGCACTGTGTTGCTGTTCTTATGTCATCGCAACTCTTCATTATTGTTGGTAATTACAATAACTTTAATTTGTGTTAAAATTTTATATTGATTTATTTTATGCCTGTTCGAATAAGAATATCGAATTGAATAATATTATCAAGTGTATGGATGGGGAGACGAGGAATGCGTATAGGATATTGGTGGGAAAGCCAGAAGGAAAGAGACCACAGGGAAGACCAAGGCGTAGGTGGGTGGACAATATTAGACTGGATCTTAAAGAGATAGGATGGGATGGGATGGATTGGATAGATCTGGCTCAGGATAGGGACCAGTGGAGGGCTCTTGTGAACACGGTGATGAACCTTCGGGTTTCAGAAAATGCTGGGAAATTGTTGAATAGCTGCAGAATTGGCGGCTCCTCAAGAAGGGCTCAGTTTAAGTAAGTATGGATGACTATAGAACGGGCTTTGCATTAGAGATTGGATTTATTGACATATTAACATACGACTCGCAACTACAATTAATTATAGCGCCATCGCTGATCTCCACAATTTACAAATCAGTAGAGCACACATTAGTGTTCTTAGTCTGTTACAGTCTCCACTAGTCGTTTCTCGGTAACGGTTTATAACATTGGTGATTCTTCAATTGTACCGACCAAGTTTTCTCTTCACAGAATCCCTTACAACCGATTCTGTTCAAGTCAAAGTCAAAGTTATTTTACGACTGGCAGTTTACCGCCAATCAGTTCATCTTGGCATCGAGCCCCTTGAGACTCACGACCAGAATTTTTTAAACCGAACCCTAGCTGTCATAGCCCTTAACGTAACATCCTCTCTGACTCGAAGACGAGCTTCTCGACTGACCTAATCCTTCCAGCCGCACTATGGCTCAGTCTCTAACAGAAATGAGTACCAGGAATATTCTTGGAATATTCTTGGGAGTAAAGGGCGGCCGGCGCGTAAGGCTGACAACCTTTCCGCCATCTATGAGCCGATTGTCTAGAAAATGTGGGAACCTCAACATCTCACGATCCTATGGGCCTCCACGGCCTGTTACAGGGATACCTTCACTTCCTACTTTTTTACGTTAGCATGTTACTGAAAATTCTTCTTCTGTCTTCTGTCTGTCCACGCTTTGCAAAGCAGATCATGCCTATCTGCTTATCTTATGCTACAACAGCAGCTTAGTCACTTGAACGGTCGTAAGCTTGGCCACCGCCAAGTTTAAGCCTCTTGTATTTTCTGTCTGGCTTAGCCTTGTCCAATACTTCGAACATATTCATTCTCATGATCTTGTATGACAGCCATATGTTGCCTTCACAGTTTTGTTATATAATGGTATAAATACGGAAGGTTGAAAGCTGTGTGCAAATCGCAGACCGGTGTGCACCTTGGAAAATTTGCAGTTGTGCGAAGAACCTTGTTTTGCATGGCCTGCAATTTTAAGAGGCATGTGTCCGACGCTAATTCCCATGCGGGGCAAGCATCAGTCGTTACTAAGCTGATCAGTGCCTTATGGAGGGTCAGTTTACTGTTGGCGCTTGAATGCTCACTTTTGAATAGGGAGTAGATTCTAATAAATGTTCTGAAGGCCTTGGCTTCAATCATTTCTATATGCAGCCTCCATATAATCATCTTATCGAAGATTATATCCAGATATTTTACATGATTGACAAAGGGGATATCCCGTCCATTCAATGTAAGATGAGCCTCAATGGGCCTAAGCGTATGAGAAAAATAAATGACCTGAGTCTTATCTTCATTAATTTTTACATTCCAAAGCTCCCATCACGTGTCAATAGCACCTAGAGCTCGCTGTAACTTTCTGAGAACATAATTCTCTTCGCGGTACTGACTGTTCTAAACTTGTCTCAGTCATAATATCTCGTCACGAGCAGCTTAGGAAACACCGTTCATTGTTGTACTCCTTCGTTTCCGTGGGAACGTGTTTGTTTGCGAAGGCGTTACCCAGTAGCCGCTGGGTATACTTGCTTATTACGAACATGTTACCTAGCAGCGGATGTTGTTTCCGTTGTTTATTTCGAGGTTGTTACCCAGTAACGGGACTACACGCTACAATATGACAACGTTTAAGGCCGTCGCGATCGTTAACGAATTCTATGAGGATGTGATCAGTGCTCAAATTTAATATCAGAAGATGAAGTTATCATTATCATGAGACAGATAAACAGCAGCCTATTGTGAATGCTGTGCTTCTTTTGTTCGGGAAACATCGTTTTCAGAGGAGGCAAAACGTGTTTTAGAATCCTTTTAAAACACAAGTATCGAAACAACTCTGCATAATTGTTGATTTTGTTTCAAGATGTCTGGATAATTTTATTATAAAAGTTTCTATTGTATGGCACAAAACCACAGTTAATGGGAAAGGTACTGTAAGAACGCGATGAAATTAGGTGCCCGAGAATGGCATACCTGAGAGCAATAAGCACTTACCGTCAGGAATTCAGGCCAATAATATAAGTAGAGAAAACGTACCTACGCGGTTCCTACACCACGCCTTCCACATGAATGGGCGGATTACAGTACCACTGAAGTCAAAGCCCCCATGTCTGAAGGCCAATGCCTCAGGTTAGGAACACACACAGCGACATCGGTCGTACGACGTCCGTACGGTTCATGTCGCATCAAGTATTAGAATATAAAGTGTAGTCTTAGCTTTCATACGTGACGACATGCGACATCTACCGTACGACAGTCGGAGAGCAGTCGGACCAAACCACAACTTCATCTCGCCTTTGACTGATTGGATGCACCCAGTGCAATCTTTCTTGCTTCCTCCACTCTTCTTTTCGGTGTCGGTGAAAATACCACATAGCAAGTACGCGCTCTCGGGCCATCGTTCATTGTTCCTTCATCAAAACTGCGATTCCGTGCGGATAAAGTCTTTCTAGTGTGAAAAGGAGGTCGTACGGCAAAATATCGTACATTTTTCCGTACGACCGATGTCGCTGTGTGTTCCTAGTCTCAATCAGGTAACAGACTGAAAGTGACCATTTCTAATGTAGGGTAAAAATAGTAGGAATTGTGTGAAATCTCGTGATTCCATCAAAATATTTTAGCATATTTCCGTCTTCTAGTTTACAAATCATGAATGAACTGAAGAATTTCAAGAAGGAATGAACGCCCGAAATTTTGGTAGTTTAATCGCAGAGACTTGGTTTTCATAACCGTTAGCTTAGAGCGGTTCGTGGTTATAGTTTTCATAACCATTAGCGTACAGCGGTTCGTGGTTATAGTTTTCATAACCGTTAGCGTACAGCGGTTCGTGGTTGTTAAAGGTGTCACTAAGGTGCTTGATTACTGTTGCATTTGTTAATGTCTTTTCATTATATCAGATGGCTTGAGGAGAAACTTACTCCCTGCCAACACGGTTAGTGTGATGGACAGCACGTTCTATCACATGTTCAAAATGGTAGATCACCATCACGTATTGTTAATAGTAGGAAGGATAAAATGAAGGTTTGTTTCGATACCCGTGGATCCGCTAAGCAGAGGATTCAACGGAAGTCGAAATGATTCCGTTAACTACAAGAAACAAACTTTTGTTTCTGCATACCGTTGTTTATTACAAATGGAAATATTTGTGATACCATCAACAAAACTATACAATATTCTATATGTTTTATTTTCCAGTACATATTTCGACCTTGATTACTTGGTAATCTTCGGGTGGCATAATACTTAAAGCATTACTTTATTGAATTGTCACCCCTTATTCTATTGAGCTTAGGCCCTTGTTCATATATTCACATTTACTTGTGGTCAATTTGCCTAGTTATCTGTTAATTATAATAATATGCAAACAACAAACAAACAAACTCCGTGCCCTGTCGTCCGCAAGCGAACAATACCGACCGAGCGACAGCTGCTTGTCGGCGAAGTTAGTGTCGACTTTAGCGGATAGAGGGTGTCGCGTGGTCAGTGCAACGGATCTTCACGGCCGTTAATCTCGGGTTTCTAGACCTGAGCCGCTACTTCCTTGAAATAGCTCCTTAATTATCCTCACGGGGCTGAGTGGACCCCGTTCCAGACCCACAACTTCTCAGAAAATCTGGTAGCGCCGGGAATCGAACCCGGGACCTCTGGAACTGTAGCCAGGAACTCTGACCACTAGACCACAAATATTAAAACATCATCTTGCATCATCTGATGATCTTCCGACACACCCGCCACGGTTTTCCGGGTTCGATCCAACTACAGGTCATGTGGGATTTGTGGTGGACAAAGTGGCACAGGTGCTGTTTCTCTCCGAATATTTTGGTTTGCCATGCGCATATTCCACCAACTGCTTTATATTCCTTTATTATCCTACTATCGACGCTACACAGTTTCGATCCTGACAGCATCGCTAATTAACCAAAAATAATTAGGAAGATGAGGTTGTCAGTTTGAAGGGAACACTTCCCCTCTCGTCCAGTGCAGAGTGATGTGGGCCAGAGGCAGGCATATGCAAACTCAATGTTTTTACAAAAGCCAGTATGGAATGGTCATACTGGGTCGCAACCATTCACGTGACCGCAGGTGGAACTGTGAGACTCCCTGCACTTGACATGCCTTTCTCGCGCCCTACTTTCCGTACATGCAGGTGCCACGACTTCTCGCACGTGTTTTACGAACTTTTATAACGAAGCAAACGTGTTCATATTTTCACGTCAACCGATCGCGAACTCGCTTGTCCGAAGCACCTTACTAGTCCTCGATTCGAAATCCCTTCGGAACAAAAACGAACACCTGCCAACGGGAACGGAAACAAAAAACGATTGCAACGTCATTCAGTAAGTCTGTTTTAACGCTCTTCTCTGATGTGTCTCTTCTATATGGTTTTACTGCTTGTTAAAACATTTTGTGCTTATACCCTATTATTCACGACTGATAAGAGACAAAGTTCTGCAGATAGTGATGGTGTTACTGTAGGAAGCCTTCGATATTGGAAATGAAAGAAAATAATAAAATATCTTTGTCTTGGAGTCCGAAATTGTGATATCTGCCAGAAGTTCGATTTATCAGCCTCAACTGTGGCTATTGTCCTGAAGGATAATTCCAGGATTTTTCAGGTAGTAAATAAAGCTTCTTCTTTGTTTTCTATAGTGATACGTAAATATACTGGACATTTTGCTGAAATGGAAAAACTGTTTACTGTTGGTATGCATGTTCAAACTCGACGCCATGTGCCCTTAAGGGACTTAAGGGCACAATACTTACATTTTTCCCTTCAGGATGTAAAATTGGTGCTTTATATTTTTTGATAATTTTTCTATAATTTTTAATGTAACCCCCGAATTATAACATTACATCTATAGGTAATAGTGATTAATAGTCATTAATTGCCATGATATTTGCTGATGTATTATATTCGCCTGTCCCAGGTGTATCGGAATTATTTGTATGTAGAAGCGCCAGTATGTGGGGGGGGGGGCAAAAAACTAACAAAAATTATACGTTTGTCACAACCAGAGCTATTGAAAACAGTTTTATCTTTTATCTAGACCTTCTATCTAAAGTAGACCCTCTCAAAGATTTAACTGTGTCTATGCACCATCGACGTTTAGTGACCATGGCGTGTCCTCACTTTGCGGATGAAGGCGGTGGCCTCCAGATATGGGTTGCAGCTACGGACGTATTGAATACAGCTGTCAAAGCATGCTTTTCCGACTTCACGATTTGGCTAACAAACCTTTACGTTAAGCAAAAGCAACATGTCATGAAATGTTACGCAAGCTGTCGAAATTTCAGTATGTTGCAAACAAGAAAATGGACCTTCGGCTTCCACGGGGGAAGGAGGGATATCCTTGGACCTTGACTGACTGAACGAACATTAGTCCTTATTTACACGCTCCCTTTCCGATTTCTTCAGTCTTCTGGGGAGGAGCGTGTAAATAGGATCTCGGCTTCCAAAAATGACTGTACCTCATGAGAATAGTTACACCACCTGCTCTACACCCTTATTTTTTTCTGTTAACGTCTGCAGAGCGTCAGTCCTTTTATCTGGGCTTCTTACATCCCATTTTTTTTTTTTTCTCCAATTTATTATACAATCTATCCAGCTATTATGGATAATAAGTACTAGTTATGATGAGTATAAATATAATTTAACATGAAGAACGTGTTCCAATGAACTCGTTCTATATGTAATTTAACTAATTATAGTCAATTAGTTAATTGTTTTATAAAATTAAATAGCAGATCTTTACAAAATTAGATAGCAAATCTGGTTAACAGTTCTGACGGTTTGAATCTGTGAAGCCTCCTGACTTCTTCTTCATCGTAGAGGTGCGTCGCTAAGGAATTCGGGTGCTTCCGGAGGCGTGCCTGATATTTCTTACTGGAGAGCGTGATTTCCTCGCGTACTGTTGGAATTCCCAGGTCCTTGTGTAGGACGAAGTTTGGTACGTACCATGGTGCGTTAACTAGTACACGCAGTGCCATATTTTGGAATCGTTGAAGAATTTCGATGTTGGAGTTGCTAGCGGTACCCCATAAGGGTATGCCATAGGTCCATATCGGTTTTAGTATAGTTTTATATAATAGGATCTTGTTCTCTGTTGAGAGCTCCGAATGGCGTCCCAGCATCCAATACATCTTGTGGAATTTAGTTCTGAGCTGTGTGCGTTTGGTCTTGATATGTTTTTGCCATGTGAGTCTTTTGTCCAGGTGCATGCCAAGATATTTGGCGTCGTCTGCTTGTGGAATTTGAGAATTATTGAGTTGTACTGAAGGGCAGTTGTCATGTTTCATGGTAAATGTTACATGAGTAGACTTATCTTCGTTGGCCTTCATGCGCCATTTGTTGAGCCAATGTTGGATGTGATTAAGGTGATTTTGTAGGTGCAAGGAAGCGATGAGGGGGTTGCTGTGTGACGCCAGGATAACTGTGTCGTCAGCAAACGTGGCTGTGGTTGTTTGTTGAGTTGTAGGGAGATCAGATGTATAGAGCAAGTATAAGACAGGCCCCAACACGCTGCCTTGGGGTACACCAGATAATATTGGATACAGGTCTGTGTATACTTCCTGCTGTTTTATGAGGTAGTACCTTTGTGTGAGATAGGATCGCAGTGTGGCATACATTTGATGTGGTAGTGCTTGTTTTAATTTGTAGCATAATCCCACATGCCATACCTTGTCAAAAGCTTGACTGATGTCAAGGAACACTGTTGAGCAGTAGCGTTTTGCTTCGAGAGCTTTGTTGATTGTGTTGACCACCCTATGGACTTGTTCTGTGGTGGCGTGTCTGTTTCTGAATCCAAATTGATGTTTAGGGATTAAGCTTTGGGCTTCCAATACCGGATTAAGTCGTTTCAGGAGTAATTTTTCCAGTACTTTAGAGAGGACTGGGATCAAGCTTATTGGTCTGTAGGATGTGACTTCTGTTTTGTTTTTTCCAGGTTTTGGGATCATAATGATTTGTGATACTTTCCATAGTGATGGATAGTATTCTAGTCTTAACACAGCATTGAATATATGCGTTATTTTTTGGATGCATGTTTTCGAAATTTCTTTTAAGACTTTCCCTGTGATTAAATCAAATCCAGGAGCTTTCTTTGGATTTAGATCCTTTTTGATGATTGACTCGACCTCTTTGTATTTGAAATTGCGCATAGGTTGATGCATCTGATAGGGAGCGTCAAGGTAATTATGGATTTCATTTTCTTCAACTGGTGTAAGTTTAGTGCCATATGGTTGGAACACTTTGGAAAGATGTGTGGCGAATGTTGTGGCCTTCTCTTGGTTATTTCGTGCCCAGTTTCCGTCGGCAGTTTGCAGTGGTGGTACTAATTCCTGAGGTCTGTTCAGTTTCCGTGTTGCTTTAAAGAGTGAGTAGTTGGTGGTGTCGGTTGCGGTTAATCCTTTGAGGTGCGCCTGGATATGTTCGTTTTTGAGGTGATGAAGTAGATTTTTTAGGTCTTTAGCTTTTTTGTTGAATATTTTTCGGTCAGAGTCGGATCTGGTGTGTTGCCATCTTTTGCGGGCTTTTCTTTTTTCCGCAATCTGTTGTTTAACGATAATTGGACATGTCTCTTTGAGGCAGTTTTCATTTCGGTCTGGGGTGGCTTGCCATGCTGCCGTTTGTATGGTTTTGGTTAGTCTCTCAACTTCAGAATCGATGTCGGTTTCTGTTTTTAGAGGAGTTTCTAGTACAACTAGTGAATCCAATATTTCGCGAAACAAGTCCCAGTCTGTATATTTGCTATGTAGAGTGGGTTCTTTCCGTTTTTTTTTGTATTTGAGCATATAGAGTAACTATGATTGGGGTATGGTCAGATGTAAGGTCTAGACTTGATTCTACAAGGAATTTCCTTTTGTCTAGCCCTTTAGTAATACAAAAATCTATTATATCCGGTTTCTTCCTTCTATCAGTTGGCCAATATGTGGGTTGTCCCGTTGATAGGTAGTTGAGATTATTGCGTTTCATGGTGGCAATTAATTCCCGTCCTTTGACGTTGGTGAGTCTGGAGCCCCATTGCACATGTTTGGAATTAAAATCTCCTCCCACTAGGAAAGTATTGCCTAGTGTTTGAAAAAAGTGTTCAAAATCTTTGGTTTTGTTATTATATTTGGGCGGACAATAGATAGATGAGAGTGTTAATTCGCTGGAGTGTTCCTGGATGACTACGCTGGTAGCTTGTATATTTTCTTGTTGGTATTCTTCTCGTTCATAATGTTTGATGTTGCGTCTAATGATTATTGCTGTACCTGCATGCGCTGTGCCATCTGGGTGGTTTGTGTGGTATACATTGAAGTTTGGTATTGTGAAATAGCTCTTCTGTGTAAAGTGCGTTTCCGATATTAGCATGATGTCGATATTATTATGTAATAAGAATGTTTTGATTTCCTGTGCATGTTGTGCTAATCCGTTGGCGTTCCAGATACCTATTTTTAAGATTTGAGCCATTTCGAGGGTTTGTTGTTAGAGGCTGATATGATGTTAGATGAGTTTCTAGTTGATCTGTGTAGTTGATTCATCACACGTTGCGGACCAGCTAACTCGTTAGCTAGAGGCAGGACGATGGGTGGTTGTGTCATTAGGGAGTTTTAGCGATAAGGGCTGTTATTAGGTTGAGTAGAGTCCCCATTTGATCCATTAGCTGTTTCATCATTTGTTTTAATTCAGTGAATTCATGAACTGGTTGTGATGTTGTAGGTAGATTTGATTGATCTTCAAATGGGATTGGCTGTATCACCTGCGGTTTTGTGATTTGTGCATATGTAACACCCGGTTGTGTGACTCTTGAGTAGTTCGTCCGATCTCGCAATGTTGGATACAGTTTTTGTTGTAATTGTTTATGAACTATACAGCCGCGATAATTGGCTGGGTGGTGCTCTTTGCAGTTGGCGCAAATTACGTCGTCATCATGCGTTTTTTTTGGACAGTCTTTGGTTAAATGATTTCTGGCACATTTAACGCAGCAGGGTGTGTTGTGGCAATAGTTTTTTGTATGCCCGTATTTCTGACACCTCATGCATTGGGGGATTTCACGTCTGGTATGTGGTGCCTCAAATTGGACACATGTATTTAAAAGTAACTTGATGTTGTATATATCTTTATTATTAGTTTGTGCCTTAAGGTCAACAAAGAACAATGGCAAGGGTAAATTGGTGTGTCGTTGCTTGACGTTCCAAATGTTGGTAACTTCATGTCCTTCTTCCGCTAGACTGTGGGTAATTTCTTTGAGGTCAGTGGACGGATGTATGTTTTTTAGGACCACTCGAAAAGTTTTATCTTTTTTGGGTTTGTAGGTGTGGAATTCTGTGTTTTTTTCCATTAGTGCTTTGAGTA